TTATTTCCCCTGAAAATTACTTAATTACCATTTTTCCCTTTGTAATTAAGTAATTAATTAAGGGAAAAATGGTAATTTTACAATGTAGAAATGTGGTGGATGCCACCTTAACCAAGTAATTAAAGTTAAAGTGACCAGTAATGGGAATTCCCTGGTGGCGCAGTGGTTAAGAATCCACCTGCCAATGCAGGGGACACGGGTTTAAGCCCTGGTCCGGGAAGATCCCACATGCCACGAAGCAACTAAGCCTGTGGGCCACAACTACTGAGCCTGCGCTCTAGAGCCCGTGAGCCACAACCACTGAGCCCGCATGCCACAACTACTGAAGCCTGTGCACCTAGAGCCTGTGCTTCTCAACAAGAGGAGCCACCACGATGAGAGGCCTGCGCACCGCAATGAAGAGTAGCCCCTGTTCTCCACAACTAGAGAAAGCCCGCGTGCAACAGCGAAGACCCACCTCAGCCAAATAAGTAAATAAATAAATAAAATTTTAAAATAAAATTTAAAAAAAGTAAGATCACCAGTAATAAGTTTGACATTGTGCCTCCTGACATGAAATACTAAGAATATCACTTACATGATATACTTGCCCAAATGCATAACTTGAATCTAATCATGAGGAATCATCAGACCAACCAAAACTGAGGGGCACTCTACAAAATAACTGGCCTGTACTCTCCAAAAATATGAATGTCATGAAAGACGTTGAAAGGCTGAGGAATTGTTCCAGATTAAAGGAGTCTGAAGAAAGATGACAACTAAATACAATGGGTAATCCTGGTTTGGATCCTGGACCAGAAAAAAAAAATTAAGAAAAACATTATTGGTTTAAATGCAATGTGGTATCTTGGATTGGATCCTAGATCAGAAAAAGGACATTTATTGAAAAACTAGTGAAATATGAATAAAATCTGGAATTTAGTTAATTGTGATAAACTGGTGTTGGCTTCTTAGTTGTGCTCTGGTAATAAAAGTTGTTAACTTTAGGGGCAATAGGTGAAGGATATATGGGAACTCTCAGTACTAGCTTTGAAACTTTTCTGTAAACCTAAAATTATTCCAAAATTAAAAATTTCTTTAAAAAAGAACAGTATTGAGACAATTGGGGAATTTTATGGATGATAGATTATAGTATTATACCAGTGGTAAATTTTTTTTTATTTTGATCATTGAACTGTGGTCATATAACAGAATGTCCATGTTCAAAGGGGTGAAATGTTATTGGACATCTTCTCAGCCTCACTTCTTCCTTTTTTTTTTTTTCTGCCCACAGCATGCAGCTTGCAGGATCTCAGTTCCCCAACCAGGGATTGAACCCAGGCCACTGCAGTGAAAGCCCAGAATCCTAACCACTAGGCACCAGGGAACTTCCTCTTCTTCCTTCTTTTGGTAACAGTCCCTATTTTTCTTTTGGGGGACTACTCTGCTCCTATTACATGAGATCTTGGTGGTAATGTAAATCAAGGTTTTCTGTGGTATCAATCTGTCTTTTCAGTGATATGCACTAGCTCACTGGAAATAATACGCTTTTAGTTTTGCAAAGGAAATTACTAAAAGACTAAAATGCTTCTAAAAAAATAAGAGACCATTGTTTCTTCCTCATCATAGGTGAGTTTAACACATTTGCAATTAATATTATTATTGATATGCTTTTATTTATTTCTACTTTTTTTTTTTTTTTGCTTTCTATTTATTATATCGTTTTCTGCAACTTTCACCTTTCCTGCTCTGTTGGATTTATGAAGTTTTCATTATTGCCCTCTTCAGATTTTTAAGTTACACATTATATTTCTAAGCTTTTCTAGTTACCCTTACTTTTTTTACACCTTTATAAAGCCTAACTCTCTTTTTCCAGAACTCAAGGACTCCTAAACTTAGATCTGCCTTTCTCACTTTTTCTGTTTTCTTCTTTTCATTATACTTTTTGTATTTCATTCTTAAAAATTAGCATATATGATATAATCAGAAAAAAATGAAGTTTCATTGGGGGAGAAAACGCCCTATCTTCCATCTGTGTATAAATAGAAGAGAAAGAATGTATTTTTCAGTGATCTTTTTATAAAGTAAAAAAGGAAAGAAAATCTCAAGGTATGACAGACTCTTAGAGGTGGGAAAAATCGAGAGAGTTCTCATTTAGATTGTGTATGGCTGTTTCAGCCACAGAATACAAACAGACTAGGGAGTTCTGGGAATCTGAGATGTTTGGATGGAACTAAGCATAGTTTTGGTTTTCTTCTTGCCAAAATCTCGTATGGCCTAAGCCAATGAGCTCAGTGACAAAAACTCTCAAGGTGGCAGTTTATATTTGTCCAGTAAGGAAGTATATATATATATATATATTTTTTTTTTTTTTAATTTTTGGCTGCATTGGGTCTTTGTTCCTGAGCGTGGGCTTTCTCTAGTTGCAGCAAGTGGAGGTTATTCTTCGTTGTGAACGGGCTTCTCATTGCGGTGGCTTCTCTTGCTGCAGAGCACAGGCTCTAGGCGCATGGGCTTCAGTAGTTGTGGCACATGGGCTCAGCAGTTGTGGCTTGTGGGCTCTAGAGCGCAGGTTCGGCAGTTATGGCACATGGGCTTAGTTGCTACGCAGCATGTGGGATCTTCCTGGACCAGGGCTTGAACCCGTGTCCCCTGCATTGGCAGGTGGATTCTTAACCACTGCGCCACCAGGGAAGCCCAAGGAAGTATATTTTAACTTGCTCTACTGTATTCCTTCTTCCACTTAAGGGAGTGAATTAATTTATGGAACCTAGATAACATACTTCCTGACATATTACAATTAAAATTCCCTTGTTTTATTCGCAGACCATCGCACACCTCTTGCCACCTCGACCTACACAGCTGCTCTTCCAAGGGGACCTCACATCATGCAGACAACAGTAGAGCTCCCTACTGCCTCCTAATATGTGTCCTCTTCCTGTAGCCTTACATAGTTTTGAGTTTCTCAGATGAGAAGCATGGGCATGGGAAGGGGAGATAGGATGGGAATGGAAAGCACTGAGTAGGGTAAAACAAGGATTTCATGTAGGAAATGAGAGAAAACTGTTGGGCTGCAAAAAAAAGGCAAGTCCCGTGACTATACATACCTAAAGAATTCCCTGTGTGGCTGACAAATGGATTCTGAAGACAATTCCAAAAGAAATAAGGTAACAGAAATTTTTGAAACTGCAAGAGTGTAACTAGTATGCCACCTCCTAAAACAACTGGGAAAGTGTTAAAGAAAAAAGGTATTCAGTGACATTTGTTAAAGATGACAAATGACAAGACAGACTTTACTCAGGGCCAGTGTGATAGGTATAGGGACCACTGCCATGGGATTTTAGTTGGGGAAGATTGCGCTCAACTCTGAATACACCATACACAAGTAGGAATTTATAGCTAAGGAGTAGGGTAGGGGGTCAGTGGGTGGAAAATTACTAAGAGAAAATGGGTAAGAAGGGTTCTGGCTGAATCCGCCTAACAGGATTCCTGCTGAAGACAGGCCAGGGTGATCAGACATCACCTGAAGGATGATGGAGGATGAGGAACCTGATCAGATATTGAGGGTGGAGGGTTCTGGTTAAAATGACTTAGCAGGGTTCTTGCTAAAACTAGATTTTACAAGTAAGTGTGCAAGTGGGCCTCGGAAAGGTTCAGGAGCCTGACTAAGGTTTGGTCAAGCAACAAAGTCAGTAAATAATTTAGATCCTTAAGTGCTAGTATGCTTGTTCAAAAAAAAGCACTGTCATTCATTTATAATCATTATTCAGCATTACTCTTCAGAAAATGGCCAATGATGCCTTCCCTGGTGGCACAATGGTTGGGAGTCCGCCTGCCGATGCAGGGGACGCGGGTTCGTGCCCCGGTCTGGGAGGATCCCACATGCCGCGGAGCGGCTGGGCCCGTGAGCCATGGCTGCTGAGCCTGCGCATCCAGAGCCTGTGCTCCGCAACAGGAGAGGCCACAGCGGTGAGAGGCCGGCGTACCGCAAAAAAAAAAAAAAAAAAAAAAAAAGGCCAATGAGAGAAAAACAATGTAATATAGTTGTAACTGAGCTTAAACTTGAAAAGGCTTGATTTCTGAATTTAGGTTCAAGCTGTTTTGTCACAACTCAAGAAAAGGCATAAAAGTTTTTCGACATTATCAAAGAATATTGTGAATAGCAGTAAAAACTGTAGCTTAAATAATGGTTGGGGCTTCCCTAGTGGCACAGTGGTTGAGAGTCCGCCTGCCGATGCAGGGGACACGGGTTCGTGCCCCGGTCTGGGAGGATCCCACATGCTGCAGAGTGGCTGGGCCCGTGAGCCATGACTGCTGAGTGTGCGCGTCTGGAGCCTGTGCAACAGGAGAGGCCACAACATTGAGAGGCCGGCATACCACCAAAAAAAAAAAAAAAAAGGGTTGCTTCCTCCTTTTAAGGGAATATGTGGAACTTACAAAATGTCACGTTCCAAAGTGAAGTTGCTGAGCAAAAAAAAAGTGCTCTTTTCAACTCGATTAATGCTGCCTGTGCTGTCACATGGTAAATTCCAGGCACCCCTAGGAGCAAAACCTGTATTAATTTCTTACAAGAAAACAAAAAATAGACCCCAAAGCTCACTCCCTGAAAGTTGCAAAGTATCATGACACTCTAGTTTATTAAAATGAAATGTAGATGATACCCTAGTTAACTACTACTTGAGCTATACTTACACCTTAGGTAAATACATCAATGAAAAAGAACAGGAATATTTGAAGGGCAAATTTTTTATTTACACACTTATTTAAATACTTCTTTTCCTCAACTGAGTACTTACTGTAATACAGAATACAACTGCTTTCCCCCTCTCAATTGGTATCTTGTTAAATTATACATATGTGTAATTCTATACATCTTTATAACAAGTTTGAGAATGAGATTCAGTAACACTGCCATACCCCTCAAAAGTGCCAGCAAATGGGTGCAAATATTACTGAAATTCATACTACATATTAAACCACATGTTTTCACTTGCATGTTACTGTTAGGATTGGAAGAAAAAAATGGTGAAATTTACTGCAGAAACTCTTAATAGATATAATTTAATATAATATAAACATATTTTTTACTCACACTTGCATAATTGTATAATTTGTTATAAGAATTAAAAATCAGAGATGGTAAATGTAGTTTTCACTGATTCCTTGATTGTTTAATTTATGCTTACTTTCCAAGTTCTATGTGCATTTATAAATTAACATTTTCTGTGATCTTTTCTCTAAAAACTTTATTATCACTTGCAGAACATGATTGGCATTTTTTAATGGGAATTTATTCTTCCAATTCATTCAGATTGGTGGATTTCTCCTCACCATAAATTCTCTACTTAATAAGGTTTATCAAATATTTAAAGTTTTCTCAGATTCATAAGTGAATATTACATATGAATTTTCTGATGTAAAATAAGATTTGACTTCTGGGAAAATGCTTTCCTACATTTGCTACATTCATAGGGCTTTTCTCCTGTATGAATTATCTGATGTCTGAGGAGGTGACACTTCTTGATGAAGGCTTTGCCACATTCAATACATCCATAAGGTTTCTCTCCTGTGTGAATTCTTTGATGAGTAACAAGCACAGAAGTGTTGCCAAAGGCTTTGCCACACACGATGCATCGATAGGGTTTCTCTCCTGTATGAAATCTAGAGTGTTTATAAAGGGATGAACTATACCTGAAGGTTTTCCCACATTCCTTACATTCAAATGAGTTCTCAAGTGTATGTGATTTCACGTGTTGAGTAAAGGAGGAGTTCCAGGTGAATGATTTTCCGCATTGACCGCATTCATAAGGTTTCTCTCCAGTGTGGAGTCTCTGATGGACCATGAGTTGTGCTTTATGTGTAAATGCTTTCCCACAATCACTGCACACAAAGGGTCTCTCTCCATTATGTATTTTCTGATGAGTTGCAAGGTGAGCCTTCCTGCTATAGGCTCTCCCACAGTCGTTGCATTCAAAGGGTTTTTTTCTTGTATGATTTTTTTCATGTCTAATAAAATGAAACTTCGTTTTGAAGGCTTTCCCACATTCACTGCATTCATAAGAGTTTTCTCCAGTATAACATCTATTACAATTAAGTAAGTCTGAAGTAGGTTGCAAACTCTTCCTATATGACTTACATTTATATGATATTTTTCTTGTAGGATTAAGACTTGTGCTCATATTATAACCATGAAGTCTCTTCACAGTCAGAATTTTATTGAACATGAACAAAACTGAATTCAAAAAATTGTCTTTGCTTTCCTGGTGCTTGTCTGATTCATCAATAAGTGGGCAGTCAGCTTCTAAAAAGGAGTACAGTGAAACATTCCTAGTTAATCTTTGCCATCAATGGTTATAGAAACATATATGATTCCAAATCTAGTCTCTCATTCTGAAACAAATCTGTATTTGCCTTGATCCTGAGCTTTAAGAATAAAACTGCTAAAGAGGAAATGGGAGCATAGAATGACAATGAGAACAGATGGCTTAACTTGTGACCTGAGGAAAGATAGTAAAATAGCACAAGGTACAGTAAGGAGGGTACAAAGGAAATCAAAAAGTTGCTCAATTGCTCAACAAGGGCATATGGTTAGCTCACAGAATGTTGAGAGCCCACTGTGGAGATGTGATCAATGGACCGGGTAGCCAGGGGAACAAGAGACAAGGGAGTTAAGGGAAAATATCAGAGGGAAAACTAGATTTCGAGAAGGGAGATCAGAATCAGGGTCCTTACTACCTAATTCCTAGATTACCCAGGTAGAATAGCTCCTTATTTCCCTCATTCATATCTCTTTTTCCTCTTGATCATCTGGCACAATGTCATTTCCCTTCAGGAACATTTTTCTATCTCCAACCCTCTAACCTCATCCAAACCACGGCTGAGACATATCTGTAGACAGGGCTCCAACACTACTACAGCTGGGATTCATTCTTACACGTACTTGTAAGCCCAGGAACACAAAGGTCTAGCAGGTCATTCGAGGGTGTGCTATTCTTAGCCCAAGCACAGATTCTATCTGCTTGTTACCATTTTTATTCAGACTAAGTTTTGATATATGACAAGTACTGCTTTTACATCCTCTTTCAATCTGCCTAACAAACTAGTCCCCAGAAAGCCTCTTTGCCCCTGAAGTCACATTTTTAACTCCTAATCTCAAAACCCTATAAATCCCCAATCCACTGTTCCATTAAAAACAAAAAAAAAATTAGGGAGGGGGTTATAATTCCCCACTTATGAATTTCCTTCCATGTGGAGTTACTACAATACCCCAGCCTTTTGCTTCATGCCTTATCCTCTGTGGAGCTGGCTGAGTAGTGGGCTATAGCCATTAATACACATTTCTTTATTGAGTGGTTCTAAATGTGGGGACTGGGTTCCTGTCTTCTTTCCTCTCTACTTCAACCAATGAGAAGCAGCATCCTGTGTTACCTTGGCCAACAATAACCAACTGAAAAATCCAGGGTAATCAGCCTGGTGAACAAAAATATGCAATACAATGAATTCACTCATGGTATCTAAGCATGCACTACTCTAGCCCTCAACAAATACCTACTTTTGTTCCAAGGATTCTAGATTCTAAATAGCTACAATCATTTGCTCATGTTCCTTCCCCACCTTAACTTGCCCTCCTTCATCCTCTCTCATCCTATCCAGTATTTAGATATCCTTTAGGGAGGAGCCATTGTTCCATGATCTTAAAAAAAAGGCTCCTCCAGTCTTTGCCTACTTTAAACTTTAGGCTCCATTTTCTCTGAACTTCTAAGACAGTCATCACTGCTACCTAAACCATTTATTTTGACAACTAACTAGATTAAAACCACAATGTTACTGTGCATTGAACAAATGTTCCACATTCATCAAATTTTAAAATATATGGCTATGTTTTGCCTTTTCAACTACAATTTACACACCTGGAAAAACAATTTTTTTTTCTTTATTTGAATCCTTCTCAGGAAACATTAAAAAGCCTTGTTGAATGAAAGGATAAGAAACATCCCTACAATCCCTGACTTTACAAAAATGAATTAATTAAATATTCATTGAATGTCCATGATGTGCTCAGCTATGGTGTGAAGAAAAAAAATGATACTGGACTTTCTCTTCAGGGAGTAATCATGAGAAAACATGCCTTAAAGCCACAGGTTTGTTTTTTTTAAAAAAAAAAAGTCTTAAAAGCCACAGGATTAAAAAAAAAATCTAAGATAGTATATGTCAAGTTTTCGTTGACAGAGCCATAGTAGAGTTGGGATGGGAATTCAAAGAAGGCAGAGATCAATGTAGGCTAAAGTTACCATGAAAGAGGAGAAAACTGAATTTAGACTTCATAGCATGCTGGTTTTGAAACCGAGTGGGGCCTTGAGGGGCTCCCAGGCACTGAAACCATGAGGCCTGAGCGCTGAGGCCTCCTTTTGTCCACCATTTCTTCCAGGCAAGACTCCAGCCTCCATGACCATCCCTGAGTTCCAAAGGGTGGATTTGAACAGTTGCTAATCAAGGGAGGAGCAGCTAAGAAACCACCTGAGGAAGGATTAAAGGGACCAGAGAAGCTCAACAAGATTAAGAGAAGACAATCAGAGACTGAGGGAGTGCAAGCCCTGTTCACACCCTAATCTTGTCAGGACCCCACCTTTGAACCCCTGTTATAAAGCCCTTAATCAAATCCTCTGGGGGAGAGACACATAGTTTTTCAAGGCTGAAGCCCAGTGTGTCTCCCTTTGCCTGGCAAAGCAATAAAGCTATCCTCTTCTACTTCACCCAAAACTCTGTGATTTGATTCAGCATTGCTGTACAGAGAGGCCGAGCTTTCGGTAACGGTTTTAGTTAGATGGAGCACATCAGAATCAAAAGGACTAAGGCAGAAAAGAAAACTGTGTACAGAGGATGCTAAAGAGTCTAATTGCATGGAATAGGGAAAAGATGGACAATTCTGGATAAACATGGGATCACATACAGAGGGATAAGCCATTTAAATACCATAATACAGGTGATACAGGAATAACATGTTTGTCAGAAGAGTGACAAGCAAAATGAAATAATTCAGATAAATCTTGCAAGAACATCTAAGATAAACCAGAAAGTAGGCTGGAATTGGCAATATAAGTATTTACATAAACAGCCAAGATACCATATCAGGAGTTAAAATTCATTTGTTTTATGCCAGTAGTAATTGGGGTTCCAGGGAATCTAAAACACATTTAATTGGTATCTTAATCATTTGAAACATACTTCTTTTATGGACTCTGTGCAAAGGGAAGATTTTATTTTGAGTCAGTCTTGGATAAACTAATGGTTGAAATTATAGGTAATAAGTCACAATAGTATTTAAGGAGAAATTCTTAAGAGAAAAAGCCAAATTGCTTACCACAGTGATTTTGTGACTACAGACCAGGAGACCAGTCACTACCTTTTATTGTAAGGATAAAGGTAAAGGGTTGAAGAATATTAAAAACTGGTTCCTATGATAAAACAGACAATAAGGCCAGGTAGGGTAAAATTAAGGGAATGGAAAGCTGGTGAGGCAAAGATGCTGGAGATGGCACAAAATAAATAACTGTAGTCTTTAGAGTGATGAAGTTTCTGAGGGAGTTACTGTGGACAGAATTTCAGAAGATGGAAGAGAAGTCAAACAGCAAAGGGTGAATAAGCTGTGAGAAAGGGTGAGGGCAGATTAGTGAGGAACTAATTCAAATAAAGTTGGAGGACAATTTCCAAAAGATATCAATATTATCAAGTGAAGCAGAAAGATGCACTAGAAGGTAGATACCCCAAGTTAGCCGTAAGACTAAAGATGAGCAAGGTAGGGTACACAGGGGGAGTATATGCTGCAAGAAAAGGAACGAGTTTTTTTAAAAAAGGAAAAAAATTAGGAAGAACATGTTATAAAAGTTTTGAAATAAAAACAACTAACATATGCTGAACACTTACTGTCTGCCACTATATGAAGGGTTTTGCTTGTATTAACTCATATAATCTTTACAAAAACCTGAGGTAAAGTCATATTATCCCTATTTTATAAATAAATTTGTGCTACAAAATAATTAGGTTAGACAGAGGTTGGTGGAATAAGACTTCAAATCCACATAATCTGACTACTTTATTAGAAACAGATGTATGGAAAGATCTGCCATCATGTTGAGGAGGGAAGAAGAATGAGGATTCTAGGGACTGAGAGAACCAACAAGCACTTCGATGGAACAGGCAGCGCGAGGAGCCAGAGCGGAGAGGAAGGACATCCTCCCACACAAGAGCTGAGAAACAGAAAGAGCGGCCACGTGGAAGAGTGGAAGTGAAGGTGTCAACTGGGGATCTGAGGATGTTGTGTCAGGTGTACCCAGTCACTTTCAAAGGTGTGTGGTTTTAAGAGGTGCTTCCTGAAAAGTATTTCAGAGGTGCCTGTCCCTCACTCACCAACTGGGATCTCAGTTCCAAAGACTTCCATCTACCTGCTTTCTCTGACTCACCTGGAGAGCGCCAACGTGGGTTCTCTCCCTCCACCATCCATGGCTCTTGTCCTTGCTCCACCTTGAAGATCACTATTGTTTTGGTGACTGGACACCCTGTTCATGGGAAACAACACAGAACTGGGGACAAAGTGCTAGGAACAAACGACTACCTCACAATTCGGGTTTGCCTCCTGGAGTCTTAGGGCCTGTGAAGATGACAGACAAGCTTTAGACAGAAAAGACCCTTCTTCATTTGGGAGGCAGAAGCATTAAACAAATTATCTGATCCCCAAAGGGGATTAAGAATCTTTGACACTAAAATTCAGGGACAAACTTACTAATGCTTCAGAATGTTCACAGCTTTCGCAGGTCTTAAAGGAAGGGCGTTATTAAAACATAATGAGTTACACTGAAAAGTTACCACCCACTGTCCTTACCCATTGAGATGAGGTTTCTAAAGTTCTCCAACATCACATCCCAATACAAGGTTCTCTGATCACAGTCAAGCAGCTGCCACTCCTCTGGGGTGAATTCCACAGCCACATCCTGGAGTGTCACTGATCCCTGTAATAGTACATGGATCTTCAAACTAAAGTGTGCATCATTTGGGGACTTGTAAGAGAATCATGGCAGCCTCTTAGGATCATATCATGTTCATTGCTGAGTTTTCAGAAAGTAATGTATGATAACTACCGTACACCTGATTCAGAAATATACTTTGTGATAGAAACAAAAATTATATTAAAAATATTCAACTAGTGCCAGGATAATTCAATGGGGGAAAGAATGGTCTTTTAAACAAATGGTGTTGGACCAACTGGATCTCCACATGCAAAAAAATGAAGTTGGACTCCCCTCAGCACACACACCTCACATCATATATAAAAATGAACTAAAAATGGATCAGAGACTTATGTGTAAGAGTTAAAACTAGAGGTGACCCTTGAACAACTTGGGGGTTAGGGGTGCCAACCTCTCCACAGTTAAAAATCCACATAACTTTACAGCCCTCCATATCCGTGGTTCCACAACCACGAATTCAATGAACCACAGGTCATGTAGTACTGTAGTATGTATGTATTGAAAAAAATCTACATATAAGTGGACCCACATGGTTCAAACCCGTGTTGCTCAAGGGTCAACTGTATATAATTCTTAGATGAAAACAAGGGAGTAAATCTTTATGACTTGGGATTAGGCAATGGTTTCTTACACATGACAGAAAAAGTGTAAGTGACAAAAGAAAAAAAATAGATAAATTGGAATTCACCAAAATTAAACATTTTTAAGCTTCAAAGGATACCATGAAGAAAGTGCAAAAGACAATTCACAAAATAGGAGGAAATATTTGTAAATCATATATCTAAAAAGAAATTTGCATCTAAATTATAAAAAGAATTCTTACAACACAACAATAAAAAGAAAACCCAATTTAAAAATGGGCAAAGGATTTGAACAGACATTTTTCCAAAAACAGATATGGTCCATAAGCACATGAAAAGATGTTCAACATCATTAGTAAATACAAATTAAAACCACAATGAGGTATCACTTTATACCCACTAGGATGGCTAAAATCAAAGGCAGACAATGATAAGTGTTAATAAGGATAGGGAGAAACTGGAACTCTCATACATTCATGGTAGAACTGTAAAATGGTGCAGCAACTATGGAAAACGGTTCAGGAGTTCCTCAAAATGTCAAACATAGAGTCACCATATGACCCAGCAATTTTTCCTAGGTATATACGCAAAAGAATTGAAATCATACATCCCCCCGCCAAAGAAAAAACCATACACAAATGCCCATAGCAGAATTATTCATAATAGGCAAAAGTGGCAACAACATGGGTATCCATCAACTAATAAATAGATAAACAAAATGAGGTACATCCATATGATCCAATATTATTCAGCAATAAAAAGGACTCTACAACATAGATGATCCTTGAAAATTTTGTGCTGGGCGAGAGAAGCCAGTCACAAGAAATCACATATTGTATGGTTCCATTTGTATGAAATGCTCAGAATAGGCAAATACATATAACCATAAAGTAATTCAGGGCTGGGGGAAGGAAGGAATGGGGAGTGACTGCTAATGGATATGGGGTTTCTTTTGAGAGTAATGAAAATGTTCTGAGATTAGTGGTGATGGTTTCACAATTATGATAATATACTAAAAAAAACCCCACTAAATTGTATACATTTTAAAGGGGTCAATTTGTAATATGTGAATTATGTCTAAAAATTATTTTAAAATATTACTTATATGTTCTTCATTCATTCACTCATACAATAGTCAATGAGGACATACCAAGTACAGTACTAGAGATAACAAAAAATAAAATTATTAGTGCCCTCAGAGATCTTACAATCTATTAGACACTGCAAAACAAACATGTAAAGGTAATAAGATGTTAGAGGGGCTATAAGGTTAATACGCCAGACTCACATAAGCATAATAAAATAGAAAAATACAGATTTTTTTTTTCTGCAGTATGCGGGCCTCTCACTGTTGTGGCCTCTCCTGTTGCAGAGCACAGGCTCCGGATGCGCAGGCTCAGCGGCCATGGCTCACGGGCCTAGCCGCTCCGCGGCATGTGGGATCTTCCCGGACCAGGGCACGAACCCGTGTCCCCTGCATCAGCAGGCAGACTCTCAACCACTGCGCCACCAGGGAAGCCCCCAGATTTTTTAATATGATAAAATACATCCTCTCAACCATAAAGTCAAAATCATGTTTAACTTAAACTGAAATTAAAAAGGCATGTGGTAACATGCCTACTGCAAAGAGATAGTTAAGACCATATAAAGCAGGTGTCAGCAAACTACCACCCACAGGTTGACCGCCTGTGTTTGTAAATAAAATGTAACTGGAACATAGTTATGTCCATTTGTTTACTTCAACTACAAGAGCAGAGTTGAGTAGTTGCCACAGATTATATGGCCTTCAAGCCTAAAATATTTACTATCTATCCCTTTAAAAAGTTAAGAGAGGGACTTCCCTGGTGGTGCAGTGGTTAAGACTCCTCACTCCCTAAGCAGGGGGCCTGGGTTCAGTCCCTGGTCAGGGAACTAGATTCACATGCTGCAACTAAAAAAGCCTGCATGCCACAGCTAAAGATCCTGCCCACGGCAATGAAGATACCACATGCCACAACTAAGACCTGGTGCAGCCAAATAAATAAATAAATATTAAAAAAAAAAAAAAGTTAAGAGACTAGGCAGGGTTTACCCCAGGAATGCACAGATAGTTCAATATTGGGAAATGTATTAGAAAATTTTTAAACTGTTATATTAAAGAAAAAATATATTATTTTATTGACAGGTATAAAAAAAATGATATGAGAAAAAAAGTTCCCAATTTATGAAAACAATCTCAACAAGCTAAAAATCCTTAACTTGATTTAAAAAACAAAACAAAACAAAAAAACAACTATCGACCAGATTACAAGAGGAAACAGTATGACACTGGAAGCATTCCCACTAAAACTGGAACAAAAAAGATTCTGGTTAGAAATTACATTCAAGATTATAGTTACTAGAAGTCCTGTCCATTGACCTAAGACAAGGAAAACATATGGAGCCTACATATTAGGCAATAAGGGACAAAATTCCATTTGAAGAGTATATGATGGTCTATCTAGAAAATCTAAGAATCAACTAAAAAACTCTTGGACTTAGTAAGAGTTCTGTAAGTTGACATAAAGTCAAATAGATAAATCCATACTTTCCTCTACACCAGAATAGCCAATTAGAAAATATAATGAAAAAAGATCCATTCCATTCTCAATAGCAACTTAAACCATATGTAAGAATAAACATCATAAGAAATGTAAAAGAATTACCATAATAAACCTATAAAACTGTAATGAAGGACCAAAAAACAGTGAATAAAATGAAGAACTCACAAATAACAAATGCTGGAGAGGGTGTGGAGAAAAGGGAACCCTCCTACACTGTTGGTGGGAATGTAAGTTGGTACAGCCACTATGGAGAACAGTATAGAGGTCCCTCAGAAAACTAAAAATAGAATTACCATATGATCCAGCAGTCCCACTCCTGGGAATGTACCCAGACAAAACTATAATTCAAAAAGATACATGCACCCCTATGTTCACAGCAGCACTATTCACAATAGCCAAAACATGGAAACAACCTAAATGTCCATCAACAGATGAATGGATAAAGAAGATGTGGTACATATATACAATGGAATATTACTCAGCCATAAAAAAGAATGAAATAATGCCATTGGCAGCAACATGGATGAAACTAGAGATTATCATACTAAGTGAAGTAAGTCAGAAAGAGAAAGACGAATACTATATGATATCACTTATATGTGGAATCTAAAATATGGCACAAATGAACCTATCTACAAATCAGAAACTGACTCACAGACATAGAGAACAGACATGTGGTTGCCAACAGGGAGGAGGGGAGGGAGAGGGATGGACTGGTAGTTTGTGGTTGATAGATGCAAACTATTACAATGGATACACAACAAGGTCCTAACGTATAGCACAGGGAACTATATTCAATATCCTGTGATAAACCAAAATGGAAAAGAATATGAAAAAAGCATGTCTCTATGTGTATAACTGAGTCACTGTGCTGTACAGCAGACATTGGCACAACATGGTAAATCAACTCTACTTCAATTTAAAAAAATGGAGAACTCACTATTGAAAAGTTATGAATTCTCTCCAAATTAATCTAAAAGTGTAATGCAATCACAATAAAAATACGTAACATACCCCCTTATGGATCTTGACAAGCTGATTTTTAAATTCACATGGAAGAGAAAATGCTCAAGAATTGCTGAAGACTCTGGAAAAGGAGCAAGGTTTACTTATGGATCCAGGTGAATATTAAAAAGGATATGTACCTGGACTTACAAATTGAGTTCATATAGCAGTTCTTGGCACTATGTTCTCTGCTTATTCTAGGGAACATTCTAAGAAAGTCACAGGAGGGACTTCCCTGGTGGCACACTGGTTAGGACTCCACGCTCCCAGTGCAGGGAGCCTGAATTCAATCCCCAGTCAGGGGACTAGATCCCAAATGCATGCCTCAACTAAGAGTTTGCATGCCACAACTAAGGAGCAGGTGAGCCACAACTAAGGAGCCCGCCTGCTGCAACTAAGACCTGGTGCAACCAAATAAATAAATAAATAAAAATTTATAAAAAGAAAGTCATAGGAAAACTGATGTTATATTCCTCACAGGATTGTTACTGTCAATATTGTTTTCAACACTATCTCTATGAAAACCTATTGTGGGAATCCCCTGGTGGGCCAGTGGTTAGGACTCGGCACTCTCACTGCTGGGTCGTGGGTTCAATCCCTGGTTGGGGAAGTAAGATTCCACAAGCCTCGGGGTGCGGCAAAAAAAAAAAAAAAAAAAAAAAAAAAAACCCATTGTAAGATATTTTCTTTGGAGAATTGTGCCAAGAAAAAATTTACTTATCCGGGGAATTGTTCTGCTTTATTCTCAAGGACAAAGCCAGTACTTTAAAAGGTTGGCTATCCATTTTCTATGATCACCAGAAAGACTGGGTATACATATGCAGCTCCAGCTAAGTGCAGACCCTATAATCTGGATATCAACTTAGCACTTTTGGACATGATCTATTCAATTTACGTTTTCCCTGACTATACATTTCCTTTTTATTATGTGGATTTTTTTTTTTTTGGCTGCGCCGCACGGCATGCAGGATCTTAGTTCCTCGATGGAACCCGCGCCCCCTGCAGTGGAAGCACGGAGTCTTAACCACTGAACCGCCAGGGAAGTCCTTATATGGATTTTTTAAGAGATTTAAATAGCAATAAATGGATGCCTTACCTCTAAGTTGACCATTTTTGCAGCTCTTACACAGAGATCTATGAAAGTAGAAATGGGGAAGAGAGTAAAGACATGAGAAACACCAGGACTGCAGTGTAGAACCCTGCTCTGTGAAAACAGAAGCACACACACTGCAGTCTCAGAAAATGCCACCCAGTGGGAGAACGACATTTCTAGCAAGTCAGAAAAGTCTATATTTTATAAGCAATGATCTCTATGTTATTAATATATGGAGCTTAGATAAGCATCTTGTACATTTCTGTCCTACAGACCTAACAGCAAGTCGTTAACTTTTAAACCAGTGACTTTTTTTTTCTCCCAGAAACGTATCCTAAGTAAATACAAATACTTGTATCCTAAGTAAATAATGAATGAGTTAAAAGGATAACTAAAAGCCTGACCTCCGAAGCTCAGTATCTTTAGAAGTCATTCCTTCCTGTGATTCTCTGGTCTCTGTTCTGTAGCTGGAGTAAGAGATCTCAAATAGGTTTCTTGAGAAGGCCGGATCCAGGGACCCGGCGGGGAGGGGGGGGAGGTGAGGATTTTTTTTAAGCTGGAGTCTTCAGTTTAGACTCTAAATCTGTTTCTCCCTCTCCCTTCTCCTCCCCCTCGGAATTCACCATCTCCTATGAGCCCAGTCTAGGCTTTTTGAAATTCCAACCAGCACTGCTAGGGCCCTAGAAAGGCTAAAATGTGCAAGATGGACCCCCAGCTTTATTTCGTCTTCACTGGAAAATCTGAAGATTCACCAAGAGATCCTTAAAAAAAAAAAAAAAAAAAGACACACCGAATTTTACTCAGCATACATTACTCAAATATTTCAAAAAGAAAATACGTCCAACGCTTTGTTTTGCAGGTTGTTTTCATCTTGCGAAAAAAATGAAATTTGAAGAAAACTCATCTGGATTTGAATCTCAGATCTTCTATTATACTAAACTGTTTGAGTCTAGGCAAGTTAACTTCACCTCTCTCAGCTTCAGTTAATTCATATGCAAAATTCGGATGATTGTTGTGATAATACCCTAAGAGAGCATCGAAGTTTCTCTAGAATCGCTTTATTCCTAGATCCCTTAACATGGTTTAATTTTAAACCATTGTAAATGGTTTTAAATGGTTCTGGTAGGACCAACTGTGCTCCTGTAATCAGGGAAGGTGTAGTTTGATGCACAGACTTCTACATAGTGTCCTTTACTTGCAAGGGCAGGAATGCAAACTGAGCTTGCTCTAGCCCCACCCGGGATCTAGGAACCCTCTGAGTGGCGGTCGGGCCCTTCTCTTGCTTTCTCTGAACTACTCCAGAATTGGACAGGACCCACACACCCAAACACGAAGTCACCGCACGTGAGAGTTTTAAGGTTTTTCAGTTCAGTAAGCCAATAAACCGGTCCCTTTCTTCCCGCCCTTCCCTTAAGTCCCCCAAGTTCTGCAGAGTCATACCTTCCAGTCTTTCACTGCCACACTCCCAGCTCCGACTCTAAGCTGGAGATCAGCTTACGGAGATCTCCCAGATCTGGGCGAAACCCCGACTCTCACTTCATACAGTGCTGGTTGCAAAATCACAGACTACAGGCTACTGCCCCACTGCGCGTGTGCGGAAGTAACTGCCCACCCAGAGATTCCCAAGTTCCCCCGCGGTGCAGGCTATTCATCGGGCACTACATTTCCCATAAGGCCCATGGAGCTCGTTTCCGGAATGCGTCACATGCTCCTGCCTCTTTAGGGGGAGATTCCTGGGTTAGTATCTCTGGGGCCGTTTGGAGAGACAGGGTCGTTTATAAAAGGGAGATGTATATATCCTTTTTGTTTAAAATGAAAGACATCAGCTTTTTTTTGGAAATTTTATTTTTTATACAGTAGGTTCTTATTACTTATCTATTTTATACATATTAGTGTGTATATGTCAATCCCAATCTCCCAATTCATCCCACCACCACTCCCCACCTCCCGCTTTCCCCCCTTGGTGTCCATACGTTTGTTCTCTACATCTCTGTCTCTATTTCTGCCATGCAAACCGGTTAATCTGTACCATTTTTCTAGGTTCCACATATATGTGTTAATACATGATATTCTTCGCTTTCTGACTTACTTCACTCTGTATGAGTCTCTAGATCCATCCACGTCTCTACAAATGACCCAATTTCATTCCTTTTTTATGGCTGAGTAATATTCCATTGTATATATGTACCACAACTTCTTTTTGCATTCATCTGTTGATGGGCATTTAGGTTGCTTCCATGACCTGGCTATTGTAATCAGAGCTGCAATGAACATTGGGGTGCATGTGTCTTTTTGAATTATGGTTTTCTCATGGTATATGCCCAGTAGTGGGATTGCTGGGTCATATGGTAATTCTATTTTTAGTTTTTTAAGGAACCTCTACACTGTTCTCCATAGTGGCTGTATCAATTTACATTCCCACCAACAGTGCAAGAGGGTTCCCTTTTCTCCACACCCTCTCCAGCATTTGTTGTTTTTAGATTTTCTGATGATGCCCATTCTAACTGGTGTGAGGTGATACCTCATTGTAGTTTTCATTTGCATTTCTCTAATAATTAGTGATGTTGAGCAGCTTTTCATGTACCTCTTGGCCATCTGTATAGACACCAGAATTTTTAAATACTGGAAAATCTAAATCAGCAGTATGCTAAAGAGAATAATTTACACTTAGTTCAGTTTCTTCTAGCCATACACTAGCTTAGGTCAGGGAGATGAAAAGAATCCAACAAAGTAGACTGAGATGGAATAATCCGTGAGGCAGGTGGAAAAGAAGGAGGGTTTGAATCTGCAAAATCAAGGGAAGAAAATGTTCCAAGAAGGAAGGAGTGATCCACTGCATTAAATGCTGCTGATAGGTCAGGTAGGATGTGAACTAATAATTGGCTAGTGGATTGAGCAGTGTGGGAGTTGTTGAAACATGCCCTTTTGGTGTAGTGATGGAAGTTTGATAAAGTCTGATAAGAGTTAGGTAAGGGTGGGATGAAACAATGGGAGAAAGCAAGTACATATAGACAACTTCTTCAGTTTTGCTTTTTTAAGATGAGTAGAAAAATAAAGCTGTCCTCTGCATATGGAATTGGGGTCCAGAATTTTTTTTTTAAGATGGAAGAAATTAGTGTTTGTATCCTAATTAAAATGATACAGTGGAGAGGGGGAAATGGACAATACAGGAAAGACGACAGTTGCAGGAGGAAAGTCCTTGAGGAAAGAAGGGATGTAATCCAGTACATAATCGGGGGGATCAGTTCTAAGCAAGAGTATGGACAATTTATTCATTGAAATAAAAGGGGAGGCATACAGGGAGGAGGAAGGGTAAGCTGGGACAAAGTGAGAGAGTGGCATGGACATATATACACTACCAAATGTAAAACAGATAGCTAGTGGGAAGCAGCTGCATAGCACAGGGAGGTCAGCTTGGTGCTCTGTGACCACCTAGAGGGGTGGGATAGGGAGGGTGGGTGGGAGACGCAAGAGGGAGGAGATATGGGGATATATGTATACATATAGCTGATTCACTTTGTTATACAGAAGAAACTAACACAGCACTGTAAAGCAATTATACTCCAATAAAGATGTTTATAAAAAGGGGGGGGGGGAGAGGCAGAGTCGATAGGTACAGATGCAGACACGTGGACAGATTTGGTGGTGGGAGAATGAGGATGTCCTCACCTGAGTGCTTCTATTTTCTCAGTGAAATAGGAAGCTCAAAGTGAAGATAGGGAGAAGGTATTACAGGTTTGAGGAAAGAAAATAGTGTATTACATTGATTCTAATACTTTTTCTTATTTCAACATCTGTGAAATTGCTGTCTTACAAATGATGGCATGCCATAGTTTAATTGGCAGCATATTTTTTCTTTCTTAGTAATATGTAAAATAATGATGTATCTTATAATCAGTGGCATCTGAGATCCTAATGTTATTTAGGAATGGTGAGAGTGAATGGATTAGAGAAATGTGGTACTATTGCCTGGCATCATTAAGAGCCTGCTTGATATTAGTAGCCCTTAACTTTACTGGCATTTTCAATGTCATAAAGACATATTTTTATATCTAATCTTTAAAAAGTCCTTTCTTGATATGTAGCTCACTTGAGCAATTGCTCTATTTCCTAGCTTTCTTTCATAGAATAATTTTCTCTAAAGAGTTGTTTCTTGTTGCTGTCTAAATTTTCTCACTTCCAACTGTCTCCTCAGTCCATTCTAATTGGCTTCTTAACCATAACTACACTCCTAAAACTGCTCTTGTCAAGTTACCAATGAAATTTCAGTTGAAAAATTAAATGGACTTTCTTAGTCCTCATCATATTTGACCTCAACGGCATTTAAGAAAATTGAAATACTTCCTTATTTTGGCTTCTAGAACATCTCACAAAAGATCATTTCTCCCACCTCACTAACACTACTTCTTTATTTTCTTTACTGAATACTCTCCCTCTGTCCTGCCTCCAAATGTTGGAATATTCAAGGGTTTGGCCTTGGGCCTTTTCTTTCTGAAGTTTTCCTCAAATGGTCTCATTCAGTCTCATGGCTTTAAATACCATTTATTTGACGTTGACTGAGAAATCTGTATCTCCAGCCCTCATCTCTCCCCTGAATTTCTGACCCCGAATTCCTTATGCCTACCTGAAATCTCCCCTTCGAGAGACTTAAAAACCACCTCCAACTTCACATGTTCAAATCAAATATTTAGGAGCCATCCTTGATTTCTCTTCTTCCTTTTTCCTGTCTTTCTCTCATAGTATATATGTTCTATGAGGGCATATATTTTATTCGTTTTTGTGATATTGTGATTTATAATAAGAAATATGTATTTGGCCTTCATCCCCAATTCTGGCTCGGAGCTCCTAAAACTCTTGGAATTCCCTAAGTGATGAGAATGAGCATGGTGTCTTTTGTTATGTTAATGAGGCGACTTTTGGACTGCACCTAAGGATGGGGGCTGATTGCCAGGAAAACCAAATCATGTGATTAGAGGGTTGGAACTTTCAGTCCCATGCCTCCTAACCTCTGGGGAGGCGAGAGAGGCTGGAGGTTGAATCAATAGCCAATGGCCAATGATTTAATCAATCATGGCTATGCAATGAATGATTTAATCAATCATGGCTACATAATAAACCCCCAAAAAGATGGGGGTCAGAGAGCTTCTGGCTTGGTGAACATGTGGAGGTGTGGGGAGAGTGATGTGCCCAGAGAGGGCACAGAAGATCTGCGCCCTTTTTCCATACCTTGCCTTATGCATCCCTTCCATATAGCTGTCCTTGAGTTATATCCTTTAATAATAAACTGGTAGTCTAGTAAGTAAAATGTTTCTCTGAGTTCTATGAGCCACTCTAGTAAACTAATCAAACCCAAGGAGGGGGTTGTTGGAACCTCCAGTCTATAGCAGTTAGGTCAGGTCTTGCAATTGGCATCTGAAGTGGGGCCAGACAGGCAGTCTGAGAGGACTGAACCCTTAACGTGTGAGACCTGACATTATTGCCAGGTAGATAGTGGCAGAATTGAGTTGAACTATATGACACTCAGCTGATGTCTGAGAATTGCTTGGTGATGGGGGAAAAAAAACACACGTTGGAACTGGTGTGAGTAGAATTTTAGTTTTGTCTATGACTATATCTCCAGAGGCTGACACATAATAGGTGCTAAATAAAGATTTATGAATACTGAATAAATGTGAAACTGTCTATAGTTTCATGTCCATAAGTGCAACCTGTCTGGTTAGGGTCTTGAATCTATAGATCAATTTGGGGAAAATTGATATCTTAACAATATTAAGTTTTCCAATCCATGAGCATGGTATATCTCATCATTTATTTAAGTTTACTTTAATTTCTCTCAGCAGTGTTTTCAGTGTACAACTCTTGCATATTTTTTGGTCAGATTTATCCCTAAATATTTCATAATTTTGATATTATAAATTGTATTTTTGAATTTCCATTACCAATTGTTTGTTGTGACTATGTAGAAATACAATTTATTTGTGAATGTCGATCTGTTAGCTTTTCAAAGTTTCCATGGGATTTCTTACATAGATAATCATGTTATCTGCAAATAAAGTTTTATTTCTTCCTCCTCAATCTGGATGCCTTTTAGCAATTTTCCTTTACTTATTGCATTGGAAATAAGTTATCCACCACTACAATGATGACTAGAAATGGTGACAGATGACATAACTGCCTTTTTTCTGAACTAAGGGGAAAAACATTGTCTTTCACCATTAAGTATAATGTTAACTGTAGGTTTCTTGTAGATGCCCTTCATGAGATTGAGGAAGTTCCCTTTTAGTTTTAGGTTTCCAAGAGTTTTTCTGAAGAACAGATGCTGTATTTTCTCAAAAAATTTTTTGCATCTATTGAGATTATCATGTTTTTTTCATGTTTAGTATATTAATATGGTGAATTACATTAATACTTTTAATGTTAAACCAATCTTGCATTCCTGGCATAAACCTCATTTGGTCATGTCCTTTTTCCGTATTGTTGGATTCTGTTTGCTAAAATTTTGTTTAAAATCTTTGCATTTATGTTCATAGGGTATACTGGTCTACCAGTAATATGTGGTCTGGGTATCAGAGT